TACATGTACGTATGTATGTACATTTCTAAGTTCAGATGTTAACCTACTGTAGTTACAAATTTAAAGTTAATGCTGCAAAAATTTTGTATTTGTTTATGTATATGTAACAGTATAGTTAGTATGTACTTGTTCCCGTGTCTGGCTTGCAGCTTGCATAACTCTAGTACTATATGGTTACAAAGAACCTAACACAATGATATAATAACTTTATTCGCAAACCTTTTTTTAGTGGTAATAGAACAAAGAGATCTCAATAAATTATTTCGGTTTATCTGAAAGAAGAATTCGGTTTATCTTAAAGAAGAAGAAAAAAAGAATTGCGCTGGGCGGTCGACATAATGCTACATAACTTGCGCTATTTATCTGTATAACGTGACATATATTTTGGGACATGTTATTGTAGTCACATTTTCGACTATATCTTAAACTCCATACATTTATGCAAAAAGTTCGTCATTATTATTTCAAGAACTTTTTTAACCTAGTTATGCAGATCTTATTTCGTAGTTGAGTCTCGATTATTCTATCTTTTGCATAAAATTTAAACTAAAATTGAGGATTAATATCAGGGCATTCAGAACAGCAAAAAAGGGTAAAACTAAATTTAACAACTAACCGAATTTCTTAAATTTAAAAGATCTATAAGAAAATACAATTTATTAAAATTGTCAATCTTGCGATCCTTGAAAACAATGAATCAAGCACGTTGATATCTTCTGACTAATTTGTAATCTGTAATATATACGAACTACCCTTCGTTCCAGAAGAAAATAAACTTGTGCAATATGAATTGTTTCATGTGCAAATGTATAACACTATATACTAAAGTAAAATGATAAGAAAAAAGTCTTGTTTCAAAGTTTTTATAATTAACACTCTTATTTTATGAGATAAGGTTGATCATACCTATATGTTTGAAAGTTATACTATTTTAGATAAAAGATTCATATATCGATATCCGATTTACTTCAAGCTTGTTAGGATCAGGTACATGTCAGCAGGGCATGCAGATCTATTTTCTTGTTTGTATTTTAGGATAATGAATTCTTTTAAAAGGATTATTACATAGGATTATTACATAGGCTTATATAATATTGCATATGAGCAATTTAGTTGAGAAAAACTGAGTTATGGAGAACAAGAATAATTATGAAGCAGGGATTTTACGCTTTAGGAAGGAGTTGATAGATTTGTTATCTATTAATTCAAACTTTAAAATCGAATGATCCGGGAAAAGGTTTTTTTTGGTTCATTTCTCTAAATGTGCAGATACAGATATTTTAGGAAAATCATAGTACATATATATATTTTTTTATTATAAAATAAACTTTTTTTTTTTAACAAAAAAAAAAAGTTAAGTTCGCTATCGAAAAAATTGATTAATTTAATCAACAAGTCGCATTTTTGAGTAATCAAGTCACGGTGGTCTCCTAATGATTGACAGGTAGATGACCTTTTTCAATGTGGAAAGTTGAAACAGCACATTTCTAAAATAACAAAATTCAAAGATATGTATTAAGTTTATGTTAGTTAGATTGAGAACGAATGTTTAAAGAAGTTAACCTTGGAATGTTTACTCAGTCAGTTAACTTGTTTAAATAGTAAGCACCAAACTCTAATGATATTTTTATAGCCTAAAATTTTTGACATATCTTTATATAGAATGCTTACGAAAGTCTTGTATTCTTTATTCAACCTAAATATCTTTGTTTACATAATATAAACAATCATCAAAATAATGCTGTAATGTTAGATTATGTTTACAGATCTGTGTAATGTAATAATTCATTTAGGCAAACTTAATGTGTAAAAGAATTTTATTACCACGAGAGGGTCCATTTATGCATATTATGTATAGTATAAAATATCTGAATAATATTTACTACAAAAGGTAAAGTCCGATTATTATTAATCAATAGTAATGATAAAACGTGTAAACTTGCACGATTATGTAAGTTAAATATATGTAAACTTTAATATAATAATTTTATATTATTATAAATAAAACATTATTATTGCGTATCAGATATACGTATGTATATATGCGTAATTGTTAATTTGCTACTTAACAGTTAAAAGCTTATATATTAGTATATATATTTAACTGACCTATCGCTATACAATTATACAATTTGAAATTAGCATTTAGCATAAATAAATAGCCAATCCCAAACAGAAATTCAAAATAATAGAAATTTATTACAACAATATAAGTAAATAAATAAGTATGTATATATTATATTTATATTATTTATTTTATTTTGGGATTCTTTTCAAAGTAATCTAAATTTTAGACCCATGTGAGGGTAATAGATAAGATGTAATACATTAAATAGTAATACAATATGTAGATACCCAAGTTCACTTCGGTTCACGTTAAGATTAACTATGATTATATTTGGCACAAACAAATCAGATTTCGTCTTTGGCACTACAGATCAGCTCTATAACTGATAACACTGGGGTTTAAAAAGACCCGCGCATTAATGTAACTCCACAGTCTTTAAATTCACATACGATAAATATGCACATATCAGATATGTACTTACTACGTACCTGCAATGGTCTGTCGTTTCATTTTCAGTCGTGATTTTAGTCTTGTGTAAATCTATACATATTGAAATAAAATTTATGGTATTTTCTGGAATATATAGATATTACCAAACTAATTAAAGCAATTAGTTATTAAAGATGCAACTAATAATAACCTATCGATATAAGTATATAGTTCTAAATAAAGCTCGGGAATCTTTTATAATGATTTTCATATTTTCATTGATACTCATAATAACGATAAAAAAATTTATTGATTGGAAAAAATATAAACTATATATATTAGCTACAGTATATACAAATTTATACAATTTGATTTATGAAGTATTACTTTCATATATTTTATATGGAGTAAGATCACACACATATGCGGTCCCTAGCACATGATACTTTTGTAATGATTGAGTAATCTAATTCTGCAATTCTGCAGTTACATAAATAACTCTACTATAATTGAATTTTATCATTTACAGTTAAGCGTATAGAGTTTTAAACATTATAATTTAGCACTTAGCCTTCAGCCTTTACCCTTGTGATAAATACTCATTTGAAAATCAAAAAATGTCAAATATCAGTAACATATATCTTACTAAAATATTGGATTATCAGGTTCATTACTAATAATGAAAAAAAAAAAAAAATCGAATTTCAAAACAATTTATAGGTCATTATAGTCAAAAAAGGAAATTATGCCGAGATAAAATTTCGATAGTTTGTACCACATTTCATTTATTGGTTCTTTTGATCATGAATCACGCCCTTCTCGGCCAAAAAAATTTCATTATGAATTCAAAACTGGTTAATTATGATATTAACCACCTTAGGAAAATAATAGGTGTTGTAGAATATGTAGAAAATCAATCACGCGGATCAGTGCACAGACCATACGTATCATATGGTATATAGTAAAATTTACATATTTGTACTCATTCATCATACTGATCGTTCTGTTCGTGTGCTTGTTTTCACGAGAAAGAGGTCATTTTCGGAATCTCTTGCAGTCCACAACCAATGAATTTAGATGCATAAAATATCACATGATAAAAAAAAAAAGAATATAACACATTGTTTTTTTTCAATCGATGATAAATGGTTCTAAAAAAGATGAGCACTGCATGTTTGGAACGAGACCTGACATAAACACGTCATGCAAAGTTGGCTAAATTAATTGTTGAGAAAAAATAAATGTTTCATTAATGAACTATATCCTCAAATGCTAAAGTATAGGAATACAATTTGATAAGCCAATTTATAAATAACTCATGACCTGATGTTTGATGCGTTAGCACTATTCCAGAAATGAGTATCCCGTTAAAGCGCGAAAAATCGGTAATAAAGGATTATGACTATGAATTTCGTCTGATTAGTACGATCCTAACAAATTTGTATTCATACTATTGACGAAAGGAATTCCACGCAGAATTAGATCTATTAAAAACGGTTTAGAACATTATAATGAATTATTCACACATGAATTCTTGAAAAACAGATAGTCAGATCTTATTTATATAACAAAGTATATTTTAACGCCGATATATTAAATATTTTGAATATCTAATTAGATTGGTAGAATGTTCTTCAGCCTCATCGCGTTTGATGCTATATTTATTATATATATTGGTTCAAGGATTTGTATAACTTGCAGTAGGTATCATGTACTGTAATATATATTTAAAAATGTAATACTGTATATATCTTATCAATCTAGTTAAGATTCCCGCAGTTGAAAACTTCCACTTAGAAGAAGGGATTGAACTTAAAGAAAAAAAAAGTTTTCGATTTTTGTATCTATTTTAATTTTGTTTTTTTTTGTTTTTTTTTTTTTTTTTTTTTTATCTATCATATCTCCGAGATGGCTAACCAGATTTAAATTTTTTAGAAAACATTTACTTTACGAACTTTAATTTTGAGAAATTTGTAAAATACGCTATATATTTGTGTTTGTCTTTAAATTATATATATTTAATGATATGTATATATATTTTAATGATGATATGTATATATATTTTAATGATGTATATTTAACGATATATATATTTAATTTTCGTTAGAATACGTGATACGGTAATATAATAGCACACATTTGTGATTGTGAAATATCACTTTTGTACACGTTTTAAATATCTCAAGAAACATGATCGACGTTTTCTGAATATCAAAATTTATCAGTTATCATCATATGACAGTTATTAATCAGTCTATATATAAAGATGAAGAAATTTGCATTTGTCTTCCCATTGCACTCGAAATTCTAATCGCAAAAACTTATGTTCGTCTGTGCATATAAATTTTATTACGAATATTCTTGATTATTTCACAAAAATATTATCATTTATCTAAAGATTTATTTTGTAAGAAAAAAAAATAAATAAATAAAAAACAAAACGAAATTTTTTAAAAAAAAAACAAAAACGAAAGATTAAAGAACCAATAAATATATATTAGAAATGACTGAAAAACTGTCGTACAATCATAACCTAGGATTAGATGTGGTTTCTGAACCTAGTATCGCGTCTCAGCAAGAATGGATTTTTATTGATGAATCAGACATCGTTACCTCACCAGCACAATCTCTCCGTCCACTCATTCCAGACCAAAATTTACATATCAATGTTCCTTTCCCTCCAGAAATAAATCCTGTGGATCTTATACGCAGAAATAAGAATGGTGAGTTGTTATCGAGGGCAACCAACAAGTTCTTGATCTATCGTAATGAATATGCTAAGGAGCTTCAAGCACGTGGCTTCAAGCTCTCCATGAGAGAGGTATCACGTATGGCTGCTCAATCTTGGAAAAAAGAACCACAGCATGTTAAACGTAAATATGAAGACATTGCAAGGGAAGTGGAAAAACTTCATGTGCAATTATCTATGTCTTCTTCTCCTGGTTGGGATAGAAGAAGAGGTTGCTTTACTCAAAATCCAAATGAGTTACAACCTAATCATAAATATCAACGTGATCATTGCACTATTTTACCTTCCGTAACAGTACCTTCTTCATATTTACCATATCATTATATTCCAACTACAACAATCCCTATGCCAACTGTACCATCACAAAACACATATACATCAATACCTGTGGATTGTAGACAATCCTACTATATTTTAGATCAAACTTGTGGAAATCCTCAAATGGACTTTATTCCATATAGTGATTTATCAACTCCGGAACTTGATATTAATTTCAATAATTCTCTCGAGAGTTCTCCTGAATCTTTTAACTGTGAATTACCAGTTCAAGGAGTAATATTGGATCAATACGATTATATTCAACCTTAATTCTTTTTGTCTAATGGTTTATTCATTCTTACAGTGGCGTTCCGCAACACAGAAGAAAAATAAAACAAAATTGCAATTTTCATTATATTTAATTTTTTAAATTCTTCTGTGAACGAACGGACACTTTTTTTTCTCTTTTACGCCACTTTTTTTTTACCATATAGACAAGCACAATTTTTTTTATGATTTAAAACTAATTATTAATGATAATAATAGTAATGTTAATATTAATAATGTGAGGTGACAAAGGTATAGGTATAGCAATTTTTATTATCATATATATCACACATATCACACATTCAAAAGGCGAATCAATACAATAAATTGGATCGGCTTTTTGTAGTTTATTTTTAGTATAAATTAAAAATGAAATTTGGGGGTACATTTAGGTGTGTACGATTCGCATTCTTTAATGGCTGAAAGGAAACGACAAAAAAAAAAAAAAAAAAAAAAAAAAAATATCATGTAAACGGTTCAATTCGATGTTTTGTTTTTCTCTTCATTTTAAAATATTAATATTTATGTAAATTAATTATTAATAATATCATATGGATTCATATGTAAATACAAATTTTAAGTTTATATGTTTGCTCAAATCTAATAATGTTACTAATAAGTCACGTGATAATTTCGAATTAAAAAATTCAACGGCCATTAAAGCCTTTTTTTTTTCTTCTTTTCTTCTTTTTTTTTGAAAGTAAACTTCGATTCATACGAAAGCAATTGTAAAAAAATATACAAATATATCTATTCACTTTCCCTTTAGGAGCAAACAAGAGGAACTCCGGACTTGACCAAATTTGAAGGTACAGTACCTGGTTCCGATCGACTGAGAGCACAAAATGGTATCCAAGAAAAGTGAGTTCCCAGCATATATTGAGAATTTACAGCCACTTTTATCTGCAAACTTACATTGAAATTATCAAGATTTCCCTCTTCAATGTTAAATCATTGGCTGAAAAGAAATAACATGATGTTCAAAAAAGAAATTAGGATTCATATTGTTTCTAAATTAGGAATATATTATTATGTGATTTGCGATATTTTGCGATAATCAATTTCATACAATTAGTATGATTTGTTCTATTTTTTAATAAAATAAAAAGTATTTTCTCAAAGAAAAAACGAACCATTTTATTATTAATACATCTATAACAGTATAAGAATTTTTTAAAAAATATTGCAAAATAGATAAAAATTTTTGGTAATTGTTTCTTTAACTTTATCACAAGGTATTCAAAATCAAAGATATTCAAATCGTACATAATCTAATCATACGATAATAAAGTTTCAACCCCTGTACAAAAGTTCATTTATGGAACAGCGCGTGAATAACTTTAAGGAATAGTATGATGCTAATGTGATCGGACCTCGGACAAAAGCTTGTTCTGTCATAAAGTCTAACGATACACAATTTTCATCATTCATCTACTAGTAGCATAAAAAATTTTTTACTTATTTGTATGCTAAAGAAAATCACCTACCAAAGAACCAATTCGCATAACCGGCTTAAATGACTGAAAATCCTTTATTTATTTGAAACGTGTTGCTTTTTTGTTGAATTGATGAAATTATAACATTAATTATTTTTGTTTCACACGTAAACTTACGATTTTTCCAGAATATTTACCACCTTATGATATTATCGGACTTCGGTGCCTGCTAAAAAAGGGTTTCCTTTCAATGGGGATGTGCTAAATTTACGTAATTTTAAAAAATTTTAAAATTGATTAATAAATTATTAAAAATCAGGTGATCAATATATATTACTACCCGCACCCGTTTCAAGACGATCTTATTTATTCAAGCTACACGTGATTATACACGTTCTCTTTACAGTTATGTAATTTATTCGGAGTTCTTGATTGATTTGTCGAACAAGATTATTTATAATTTTAATGTTATTTCTGTAAATCTATTTCTATGCGAATCATAAGATGTTACTAGTTAGGAATCACTGAATAATGAGTGCGTAATTACTATTATTGCACGACTTGATCTTTCATATATTGTATCCGAAATTGGAATTCGATTTTGAAATATTTGTGTGCCTGGTATGAAAGTTAGATAAGATTGGTCGTTAAATTTATTTCTAAGCGATAGATGTGAAACGATACATGTACGTATATTGTATTGATTATGCATATTTTCTAATGATAACAATTAATAGGGACGAATCACCCGAAGGACATATTCAAAGTGGATGTTATTTGTAAAATTAAAATTTGAGATTTAAGGAAATTATTAATTTATCCGACACTAGGTTTCAAAATAATAAAAGAGAGTATATATCAAAATTTAAAAGTAGCCCTGCTAATCCGGCTCGGCTTTTTATATTAAAATGTTTTTCGGGCAAATTTTGAATAAAATCATAATTAAATGAGTAATGATATAGTATTTTTTCTATAGCATATACGCTCAAGCCTTCCTCTTAAAACTGAAGATAAGCGTGTATTTACATTTATAAAATATTACATTTGACGTTTGTATATTAATCAATTCAGAATTTTGATTGGTTGTTTATAACACATACCGTAATTTGCGGCAAATAGTACCCCGGGTCTCTTACATTCCTAGGAGCAAAATCTTGATTAGTACCCGATGGGTACTTTGTCAGGTGGAGGGTATTTTATGTGGGGGAGTTTATATTACTTCAATTGACCAATCATTTAATAGAATTATAACGAAATTGAAAAAAAAAGACATAAAAGAAGTCATGCACTATATAAATTGCATCCTAGATATACCCGGGT